TTTATAGTTTGTGTTGCTATGCGATTTCCTGTGACTGAGGTGAAAAGTTTTGTTCGAAATATGAATTTCCACAGAATGAGTACAGATCGCGTATCCCAAATGGGCAAAACTTTTTGTCTCAAAAAATAATCTCCCCTCGCAAGGAAATGCCAAGAGATGATAATTCTCTTTTCTAACGAACCTTCGCTAAGAATTAATATCAGGAAACAACGTCATCCGCAGACTTCTCCTCGTTCTCCACCGAGAATAAATTAACCACTGAAAATCGTGATTCAGAACAGATCGGAAAGTTAATGACGACGATGATTGCAGGTGTTCAGGGCACGCACACCCCCGGAGGCGATGGAGCTGGTCGCTGGACTTCTGGAGTACACACCATCAGGTCGAATCACGCCGCTGGAAGCGTGCGCTCATCCGTTCTTCGACGAACTTCGGGAACAGGGCACGCGACTGCCAAACGGCCGAGAGCTTCCCCCCTTGTTCAACTTCACCGAGTACGAGCTGCGGATTCAGCCGTCATTGAACTCGATCCTAAAGCCGAAGTACATGCAGACTTCGGAGAATCCTGGAGGCCAGTCGGAGCCGGTCGCGGGGAGTAGCGGTAACTCTAGTGATAATAACGTGAACACCAACACGCTGTCCACCTCGAAGAACACAGACCCCGGCCAGTCGAATATGGCTTAAGCGCTGCTTTCTATTTTTAACGTTTAATTAAACAACAGACGAGAAAACACGAGAGCGAGAGCGAGCGGGTGCGAGAGACAACGGAAGAGAGAGAGAGAGAGAGAGAAAGTAAGAGAGTGTATGCACGCGCGATAGAGTGAGAAAGAAAGGAAAAAACTGAGAATTCACACGTGTTAGAAACTAGCCTTAAAATGAAACGAAAAAAGGAAAAAAAAAAGAAAAAAAATTCAAGTACGGTTGAGAGCAAGAACGAGAGATAGAGGAAGAAAAACTCGATGTTCTTCTGAGGAGGATGTCTATAACATAAGTTAACACATGAGACACACAGATGAATCCCCCAAAACTGTAAATTTGTTTCAACGCGATGCAAATGGCGATACCGGCGTGGTATTTTAAGCTTTGTTCGCTTGAAACACGAACGACGAAATATTATAGAGTTAACGATGGTCCCCCCC